TGCAAAATAAATGTCTCAAAATGAAAAAGGAGAAAATTAAGGTTGATGCAAAATCCAAAGGCCCATAGGAAAGGTTAACAAGTGAGCAGAATGAAAGCAAAAAAAAATGTGTTTTTTAACTTAAACTCATTCTTTAAAGAACTTTAAGATTGTGACACAAGCCATTGAAAGTCAGGAAATTCAAACTGAAGGGTATCAGTCTGTGGTTAAAAAGAGGAAAGTGATGGAAGCTAAAGGCTTAAGAATGTGCTTTTTAACTTGCAGAGGTTGTATAGTTTGTAGTTTCCTTTTGTTATTTCTAAACATAGAACATATAAAAAGAAGTTGTGTTTTTAAAAAAGGCTGCCATAACTTAGTGTGAGGGTAGGCAGGACTGGGAGAACAATGTATGAATTAGCTAACTTGCTCTCCCTGGTATTGTATACAGTATAACCATGCATGTATTCTGTCATTTACTCAAAAGACTAGTAAGATAGAATATATGAATATAACTGGGTTTTTTTAAAGCATAACATTACATATGAAAGGCCAAATTCCATGGCCTTTATTTCAGGTAGTTATGCTCTAGTCAGGCAAATTCCCAGTAAGGTGAATCAGTTTGCCTGGGTAGATTTCCAGATTCATCCCAAAGTGTTAGCCCCTGAAGTCTTGTCCCTGCCATTCTTCACCAGGCAACACTCCCTTTGCAGTGAAATGGAGCACTGTTTGAAAAGACAACAGTGAAAAGACTCTGGCAAGTGTCTGGGCTCCATAAAGAGGAGTGCAAGGTACCCCAAGGCAGAGGCACAGGGTTGGCAAGAGCCCCTTCTGTACCTTCTGCTCCTGTCTCCAGAGCATAGGCAGTGGGTAGGGAGGCACAAGCCTCCTGAGTTTTCTGTGCTGATGGTAGGGTGCAGGGCTGCAGCCTGCCCAGAGCCAGGGCCCTGCAGCAGCAGGGGCAGCAGCAGCACAATTTCTGCACTGACAGCAGGGTGCAGGGCTGCAGCCCAGCCAGAGCCATAGTCCAACAGCAGTGGGGGCGGTGGCAGCGGCGCAGAGTTGTTCCCCCACACTCGCCCCCCCGTTGTCAACACTTACTCGTAGTCTATGCTCCAGAGTACCCAGGTCCACAGCACCCTTAACGCTGATAATGCAGAGCAGAGGGGTAAGTGGATCAGAGAGCCCCTTCTCTGGTCTCTCCCCAAGCTATTCTTCTGCAATAGACTCTGTTGACTTGGCACAGGCTGTTTCTGCAGCATGCTGTGGATGCTTAGTTGGCAAAATCCCACCTCGCCCTTACCTGAAGCTTAGCTTGTGGTGGTGGGCATGGGGGTGGGGGTTATGCTGTCCCTCCACACCAGTGCTGAATTGCACCCTTTAGAATATGGTCAGTATTATTTACAAAGCAGCAGCAATTATAATTAGTTCTAAAACATTTTTTATCTCAGGAGAAAATACCTTATGAAGTTGCTCTTAATATTCCTTACTTTACAGAGCTGTAGCTTTCTTCTTTAGAGTTTACTAACTCAGCAGTACAGAAAGTGACTAGATTATTTCATGGGATAATTGCTAACCAAAATGTTATTTTTTCTAAAGCAACTATAATGTGAATTATGAAAATGCTGAGAAAAAAGTTCTGTGCTGGTAAAGTTTGCTGCTTCTTGCTTGCATAAATATAAAATGAGAAAAACTTTTTTTTAAATGTGATTTAAAAAAATGTACTCCTGGACTAAAACTCTGTTCCCATGGCATTTTTAGTGAAAGAAAATTACCGTGAACCGATTTAAAACTTATGCCTCCTTTCCCCCCACACCACATTCACATCCACATGGCTTTAAAGACTGGTGATGATAAAGCACCCTGTAATCCTTTCTTGGACTGAAGTCAGTGGGAATTTTGCCTCAATAAGAAGCATTGGATCAGACCCAAAATATTAACAGCATCTAAACAAACACACCTGGATTAAACTTCATCAAGATCGGCTATATGGGCCAAATCCTGTTCTTATTTAAATAAGTGGATTTGGTTGCTTATGTTTGTGCATAAAGACTTAGAAAGTAAAAATTCTAAACACTTTCCACTGCTTTACACCTGTGAGACATAATCTACTCTCATTGCACAGCTATGTCCTATTGTAGCAGATGGAATAAAAATAGTATAGGGAGTAACGGAGCAAAATTGGGCCAAATTCAATACAACCTTAAAATAAATTTTAAGTGTGTATCGAATTTGGTGTATTGTGTATTCATTTTAGTGTAAATCCACTAAAATCAACTGAATTATGGGATGACACTGTTTCCTTGTTCTTTACCTACACCTCATTAATACTAATTTGGACAAACCACTGCTCAATTTGTGGTGCTGCAATGCTACCAAATATCACCACTTCAACTCTGGGAAAATCTAGATGTGTTAACAACAGGTAAGCATTTCAGCTTTTAGCACCCTTCATTAATATTTACATAGTGCCTGACTGGACTGTCTGGTCATCAGTTTGGAGATTAAAACAATTTAACATCTGAACAACTGTTCCAATATGCTGCAGGCCAACTACTCATATTTTTGTTTTTCATTTTATTGACTAATGTTCTTCTTTCACAGTACCACCTACACAAAAAGCAATGAAGTCAAGCAAAACTTGTCTTTGGCCAAAATCTGAGAAGCACTGACCACCTGTTGAATACCCTCAACTCCAAAGGAAGTCAAGAGGGCTGCAGAACTGGATCTCAAGCTATGCCAACATATTAACTTTATTTTATGCAGAGAAAATCCCACCCCAGGGAAGTGGATAAGAGAAAGAGAAAAATAAATAATTCAAGGCTCTTTGTTTATAAAGAGATAATTTGGAGAAAATGGGAAATAGTTTAAATATCAAGAAGTAGGGATGTGAAAGATTAAATGTTTAAACAATAAGTATATTTATACCATTAGTTGTTGGGCGCAGTCTGGTGGGGAAGGGAAGCAGGAACAGGAAGGCAGCAGGGCAGGAAAGAGGGAAGAAGGGAAGAGTGAGAAGGTGGTGGAGTAGTGAGGGGGTACTAGTACCCATACCTGGCCTGCTCCCACCCTCCCAGTGCTCTGGTGGCTGCAGTAGGCTGGGAAAGCCCCTCACCTGCTGCTGCTGCCCATGGCTTCAAATGGGTTGTGTTGTCTGGTGGGGCTTGCTGCCACCTCCTCGCCCCCCTGTCACAGGCCCCAGGGAGTAGCTCCCAGCAGCAGGGTCTGTGAGCAGCCTCTGACTCCTTGAGCTGCTCTAGGCAGGCAGCTGTGATCCCTCTCTCATGGTGAGGTGAAGTAAGGCAGGCACTAGCCTGGGTCCCTACACCCCCCTGGCAGGGACCAGGTACATGTTATTGGTTAACCATTTAACTGATATAATTAGAAGTTAAACAGATAATTAGAGGTTAAGCAGATATGTTTTTAAACTATCAAGAAGTCCCACTTACCAGATAGGAATGTTTTATAATTCACTAGGGATAGGACGTATAAACTATCTAAAGAACAAAAACCCACAGATTTAAGCTTCTAAACACTTAGGCCAATGATTCTCAATCAGGATGCCATGGCACCCTGGGTTGCCTTGAGATACTTTCAGGGGTAATGTGGGGTGCCACACAAAGTTAGCACTGGTACGTGTGCTAACACGATTCACAAGTTCAACACAGAGATTTCTAACAGGAATCCACAGTGTCAAAAACAAGTTGACCTTTCTGAGTTCTTTGCAACAGAAGAATTACTCTGTTATCTTTCTGTAGTCAAAAACTGAGTGAAAACAAAGAGCTGACATTTTCCCAATGGGTATCTTGAGTCTGAAAATGGTGAGAACTGACTTAGGTACACATTCTCAAGAATATTTAGAAATGTAACTGTCACTGATTTCAATGAGAGTTAGGTGCCTAAATACCTCTGGGGATCTGAGCCTAAGACATTCTGGAAAAGCTAAAATCTTAAAATTCAATGTATTTTTCTAGTGACATGTAACGGATTTAACTGGATAACTTCTATGAATGCAAACTGGTCGTCTCTGCATTTGACTAGAGTCCCCTGATAATTTTCTGACTGAATGCTTTTCTATTAAAAATACTGTTTCTTTGAAACTGAAACTTTATGCAGAAAAAAAATTTAAAACATTTTAATAAGGCCAGAATATTCCATTTCAACTTTTTCTGAACATAAATTCCAATTTTGCTGTTATAAAAGAATTTTTCATTTTGAAATTTATTCTGTATTATGAAAAATAGATCTCACAAAGCTGTACTAAAGTAAAATATTTGATTCAGAACTTTTAAAAAATTCTTTGCTTTCAATTTAATTCAGCATGAAAAGGTTTAAAATGGTGGAATTTCTTGTGAAACAGAAATTCCAGTTCCCGCAAATTTCTATTTCTGATATCAAGATATTACTAATATTTGAAATGTAGAAACGGAGGCAGTTTTTGAGATCTTAATGTACTGCTTTTTAAAGGCTGCTTACAGATGATAAATTCAGGGCAGATTTTGCTGAATAAATAATCCATATTGCTATTAATACAAATCCAAGGGTAGACTAGTTAATTACCACAGTACTCCCTTCTGTGGGTTTTCTTTCCTTTGGATTGTAAATACTAGAGATATGCTTGCTAAAATTTAGAAAAAAATATAAGTAGAAAAGTGCTTGACAAATCCAGCCTAAAAACTGAATTGTACTTACATGTGCAAACAGTTAATACAGTTAAGAGAGACTGATATACAATGCCGGAAAGAAGTGTTGGAGTAAAAAGGTTTCAAAGTGGTATTATCTTATTCTCAGCTAAGGAAATTACTGGCTTGACTCTGCCTCTCTGCTATTTTGCACTGTGGGAGCACCACCCATGCACAAGTTTTTATTGGGCAGGTACAATGAAGTCTTAAATTTCCTCAACGATGATTAATCTGATTAAACTTAATACATCACTTCTATGCACTTGAAATCTTTGTTGCATTATTCTGTAGGGAACTGTTCAGCCTGTGTATAAAAACTGTTTAAACCCAAAGAGCAATTACCTGCAACGGATTACCCAACGGCCTATTTCTAGGTACTGCAAATGGTCTGTGAAGGCTGCTGTCCTCTTCTGACACTGGCATCTTTAAAATGGAACTAGTAAGAAGATTCTGTATCAAAAAAAGAAAGGGAATATTTAGGGAGTTTTCATAGCATGAACGTATTTTTAAGAGAGACTCGACCCAACTACCCCACTGGGTACTACAAGGGATTGTAACATAGGAAGTCTGGAAGCAAGGTCAGTCCCTCTAATATAGATCACTATTATACAATGAAGAATAAGGGGCACACGCAGAAAACAACTTAAGCAAATGTTTTGTTTTGGCTTTGTTTGGGCCCAAGGTAGAGACTCTTCCTTTTAAGAATTCCAACCTTGATCTGGGAGACTTTTATATAGAGGGGAAGATCTCTCCTAAATATATGGAAAAGACAATACATAGTTCCAAATGCCTGCAACTCTCTCTGCCTTCCACAGGAGTCACAAAGATCAAGTTAGGAGCATGAATTAGGAATCTAATAAGGGTCTTTGCCCTTACAGTATCTTTTTCTTGTCTCTAAAGTACATAAACACAGGATACCACACGCATAATGAAATAAATGCTCTCTTCTGAGAATGTTCAAACATTCTTTCTCTTGTATTTGAGAACATGTAAGGATGAAACAAAAAGAGGGTTCTACGGTTTGAACCCTTATATGTACCGGAACATCCTCCATGGCAGATGTATGTGTGAAGAGCTGAGCGTTCAGGTTTTCCCCTTCCCAGTGATTTAAGCAAAAGAAGCTTCCAGTTTTATCTGTTGGCGACTCCACCTGGAAGTATAAAAGGATATGTGTTAAAGACTTTATTATATATTCATGTAATGAGACCTTCTCAAAACACCGGAGATCCAAACCATTCCATCTAGCTTGGTTTCCACTGGGTTCTTCTATGTTTTCACAAATATTAGAAAAAATCAGTTTAATGGGAAAGGAACTGGACAGTAACAGCGAGCTCTTTACTAAAGCTGGACTCAAGTGGAAAAAAAAAAGACGTAGCTCATGGACTGAAAGAAAATGCTATAAATTTCACAGCAAACATCACGGGCTTAGATTGCCCCTGTAGAACTTCTGTATCTCACCTCTTGTTTTATCTTCTTAAGCAGAGGGGGTCCATTTTCATGTAGGCCAGACACAATTCCAGATTCATCAGACTCCTGTTTGATAACATCTTGCAGGTCTTCTACAAGGTGAGTTGGTGTTTGAGGCTAAGGAAGAAACAGGTATAGGTTAAGCCCTAGACAAGCCCCTTGCACTAATACCAAAGCAACTTTTATCTCCATTGCCTTCTTACCAGCATCTTTAAAGGCCCATATTTCATTTCTTGAGCTGCAAGTGCATTTTTGAATGGAGTAGGTGTTCTTGGAGAGCTCTCCAGTATTGACCTTTTGATGGCTGGAGTTCTGAAACTGTAAAAAGAAGGAGAGAAAAACTTTTCCATTGATTGTGTTTGAAAACCATTTTTAACATGAAAAATTTGCATACTGTCAAAAGACTGACATTTATTAAATATTATACTGCAATGATATTCTGAGTTCACATTCAGCTATCTTACTTTTCTGGAGGAAGCACCTGTTCTAATAGTCTAATGTGCAACAATACTAAATTTAAAAAACTGGTGGATGTATCTACATGATTGTTCCCTACTAAGAAACTTGACATTGAAAAAGATCGGTACTTTTTGAACTAAAGAAAATCTGACTACATTAGCAAATAGGACACCAACAGACATGAGAATATCCAGCATTTCATTCTGGCTGTGGACTAACCTGAAAAAAAATCCCTCTGTTCTGAAAATTCAATGTCAAGATTAAAAAAGGACTTACAGATTATTTTCCTTCTGAGCTTTAAAAGCCTGGTCTCTGTGAAGTGGTGTTGTAACAGTCAGCTTATGACCACAAACTGGAGTGGAAGTTAATGTAGGATTGTCCAGGTCCAGGTTTTCATGATTGGTTGAGGTGTTTAAGAACTGCAGGTATGACAAAACAAAAGCAATATAAACACCAAGATGAAGAAACTGATTTTTAAGCCATCATTGCTGAACGAAATAAGGGTGGGGGGAGGAGGAAGGAGGAATCTTTTTAGGTATTAACCCCCCCAAAATTCTCAGGCACTACAATATAATTGTATATCTGGAGTGTCTGATCATGTGGTAAAAGTATTATCTCCCTAGAAGTTTTATTAAGAGAATCATGAATCAAAAAAAGTAAAAAGTTCAGCATTTCAGGTGCTGGAACTATAAGCCAAATTACTTTCCATTCCAAAAAAAAGCTTTTTCTATCCCTTATAAAGCCAAGTGCTAAAAGCCTCACTTTATTTTTTAATCAAATTAACTGTAGTTTTCTTTAATAGAAGTTTGCCTAAGCAAGGACAGAAGGCTAACAAGTAAAGGCTTCAGGAGCTGGCTAAAAAAAATGGTGGGTAAATTTGGCAAAGTTTTAAATAAGACAGTGAGGCATACATTTAATTTAATAAACTGAGGAAACTGAGCTCCTTCATCATCTCTGTGAAAACAGAGGAACTTAATGACCTAATGTGTCATTTTTATCTCTAATTCTATTGTTTTATTTATGAATTTGGAGGGGTCATCTCTTCTGTTAGAGATTTGTCAAAATATGTCTTACTTGTAGAAGATTAAAAATACACATATGCAAAAATATAGCACATCAAAATATGTCTTTACTTGAGTAAATAAGTTACGTTCAAATATAGTTAATTACAAATGTATCAGGGTACCTTTAAACACACAAAATGTTTTTTCTAACCCTTCATGAAAAATTGCTTTTTTGACAGTCAGGACTCTCAAACAGCCAAACCAAACTATAACAAAAGCAATCCACAAACCAAAAACAATGCGTAGATAATGTTACAGCTGTGAGGCAAAGCAACAAATGGCAGGAAATTCAAAGTGGAGACCAAGATGATTTCAATGTGCATATTTTCTTTTCATCCTTGTCCTACCCACTGTAGTGCCTTGAGTTAAGAATGAAGCTACCATTTGAATTTTCTGTTTGTTGTTGGTTTGTTTCACAATCTGAGTTTTATCTAAATACAATTTGGAATTTTCTGGGTCAGTGAATCATACTGTAAGTGGACAGAGATGGAAAGTATTACAATGAACAGATATGTTAAACTCTGGTAGGTATTAAAAGCAAGAGCAAAGCACGCAGTCATCTTCCCCTACAAAACCACGAAGAATTAAAGAAACAATAGAGAAAAAGAAAATCAACAGTTAGCTTGTTGATAATCTAAACTCAGTGATGAAGACTAACAGCAGTAAGAAGATTCAAACATGGAGTGAAATCAACAAGTGCAACAGAATTTAGTCATTTGTTCCAAAGGATTAGTTTCTAAATTGTTAACTCTGGTGACTTTTGAGAATTAGTAACATCTGTGCAGAAGTCTTGATCTACCTGTGAGGGAGAGAAGGGTAGACTTTTGACAGGGGAGCGCTTAGGTGTTGAACTGCTGACGTCAGCAAGTATGAAGGAGCTACTGTGGCCACTGGCTAAGTGGCTGGAATGCCCTCTCTTTTTGCGAAGAATGACCAGCGGAGTTGTGCTGCATTTTGAGGCAGATAAGGGCTTTGGTGAGTCAAGAGAGTCTTGACTCAATAAGAATTTGCTCAAGTTTGTGCTAGAGTGTCCTTCAGGTCTACACGCAATGGCCTCTCTTTGCTGAAGCTGTGCGACTTTGCCTGAGGGAGTTTTGCTAGGCGAAGTGTCTGCTTCTTCAAAGAATTCAAAACTGCTGAGATCACCCCATGATGAAGGATCCTGAAACAGTGTGGGAGGCACGGAACTATAAGACAGAGTATAGTGCCACCTCATGAAAATAAAGCACTATGATATGCCAGTAACCAAAGAAAAAAAAGCCATCCTTCCCAATATAATTCAATTTGACTCTTTTATTTGAGTAATATTACAAACACCTTAGTCATATTTTAATATATATATTGAATATATCAAGCTGTATATTGTCCTAGAGTTGCTGGAAACTGAATTCCTACAAGTAGCAATGACTCAAGTGATGACCTGCCAATATTATCTACATTGGTATGAAGACAACGCCTTTTGTTACGGAAAAATGTGTTCACCAAGCTAAGTTTAACCTTATTCTAAGCACCATGGTTGCTAAGTAAATGCTGAATGGGATGTAGCTGAATGGCTTAAGTTGTGCACCCTAGTTGCTATAAATCAAAATGATACCAACACACTTATTTCAGTGCAACACCTCTGTTTCAGCTGACATTACCAGAGATTACAGTGAACAAAGGCCAGTGTTAAGTGCAGTAAGCCCTTCACTGTTAAATTAAGATTTCCAGTTCTTCAGATATGCCATACGAGCTCCTTAAGCTTTGAGAAGAGGCAGCTATGGATGCTACCTCTTGCAGTAAGGAAGAATACCAGAAAAGTATACAGAAGCACGCATAGCAACACATAGAACTACAGTCTTCTGAGACTTCAGTCTGGAATAAATATCGTTTATACAATTAACCTGGTTGTCTTATCTCTGATTTTATTCTAAGATGCAACATGTAATATTTAGAGACTGTTTCAAACTATTTTATTGTGCGGTTTGCTAAAAATTGCACCACCACCCGCACAGAAAGGGGGAAAAAATAAACCCACATGTAAGAAATTTAATTGTGCCTTGCAGCTTGATATCTAGGCAACCATATGTTGGTATTTTAAAACCAAATTTCAGATCTTGCAATCATGTTATTCAGAAAACACAACTAAATACAGGAGCTCTGAGCTCTGGTCATCTTACTCCCTGAACAGATACCAGTTCACCTGAGATGGCAATTCTACTTACGGAGTCTACAAACTGAAGTGCTTCTGCAAATTCTAAGATATTCTTAACATTATCCAGGATGTTGCTCTGGTGAACGATCATGCACCTTGCACTTTCTTCAGGTAAGCAACCATGATCCACTGGTGGAGATGGAGTGCAGTGGTGATGTTCCCCCAAACAGGAAACAGGTGCATTGTCACCACTAGTTCTGGTATTGTCAGCAATTGTGGTGCTGTGCCAGCCTGGGTAGTTTGATGTGTGGTTCTGTGTCTAAGGGAAGAAGAAAAAAAAAAAAGAAAAGGAGGGGTGGGGGGGAAAAGGCAGAAGGAACTTAGCAATGAAATTGCACAAGGTGTCAGATGCCGCTGGAGGAAAGATAAAAGTAATTGCATCATCTAAAAACTTAGGCCTATGAAACAATTGTCAAGATGTTTCCTTTCATCAGCGCAAGACTTTGTTTTAAGTAATATTTATATTTGTTATCTTAAAATGTATTTAGTTCAAGTACCAAGTATTATGAACGTGTATTGTATTTTCAATTAATTCATATTACATTATTCCAAAAAATCTGTTGTCTGCAAGTATTTTGCTCTGAGAAGCAAGAATCGGCAGGAATTCCCTACTTAACACTCAGCTCTATGAGAGGCTAAAGGGTTTAAGAGTTAGAGTTGCTTTTGTTTGCACATCTCTTTTCTTCTTCTGTCCCTGTCTAACACTACAGCTTACACCAATGCAATGAAGAGGCTGTCAAATCAACGTGGTTAGGAAAGCAGAAGAGCAAATTAACAGAAGTTTCTTTCCAGTGTGATCATGCAACAGAAGAAATTGCAAAACATTAACTAAAGTTAAAAGTGGCCAAACTAACACATCATGCACACAGTTGTTTTATTATTAATTTTAAAATGACTTATAAAAGTATTTGCTGGCTATCACTTATCTTCTAGGATGATTTGAGGTTTTTTTGCTTTGGCTATATTGTTATATAGCTGCTCTTCTATTTTACTACCTGTACACAGCAAAATGTGAAAATTCAGTAATAGCCAGCACTGGTTTCACGCATGCAGCTATAAAGGATCTAACATTATTCAAAGAGAAGTAAAACAAATTGTAAACACATGCACTGAGTTTACAAAGTATGCCATATGCAGCTGAAGTAAGGAATACAGCAGAGAGGAAAATTCTAATGAACAGGCACTACATTTTCAATATATGAACCATTGCACACTTTCAGAAATGCAGATCCTCAGAAATTTAAGGTTTGTTAGGATTTTACTGTGTTCACTTAAATGGTACCAAGCTCATGGTATTATAAGACACCACAGAGCCCAATCTTGCTTTCATTGGCTTTGCAAAAGTAAAAATACCTACAAATAAATACCAGAATGTATAAATAAATGTGCAAAACAAATATATATTAAGTATGTGCTATGTTTCATCCTCTTAAAATGGAAATATAGAGCCTTGATTAGTGTGAGAGGCAGAGGGGGAGTAAAAGATAAAAAGACAAGCACTGGGGTAAAGCTGCTATCCCTCCATCCAAGCACACAGTGACAATCTTACTGGTAATGCCTGCTGCCCTTTCAGTTCATTCTCAGTCGACATTAGTAGCAACTCTAATTCCTTTATTCGTTTTTCTTTCTCAGGGTCTTCATCATTATAGTGTCTCTGCAATTAAGAGTTAAGGGAAAAGAAAAGATAAAGGTCTGATTGGATGTTGCAACTAAAATGCTTATGGCTTGCCATCCTGTGGTATAACAGCCAAATTAGCCTCAGAGATGAAACACATCAATTGTGTTTTCTACTGTAAAAATCCCTACTGAATTTCACTGAAGTGGAGAAAATGAAAGATGTCACACTAGATGTCAGTGAATATGTTCCAATTTACCTCAGAAGCACTGATTATTGATTATTATGTTTTAGAACTCCCTCCCCTTTCCCATTATCTTCATCACTTAAGGATAGAAGTTTATGTTTTAACTTGCACATAAAGGTTTTTTAAAATGATCTTTAAATTATCTACCTGAATAGCTGCAGCAGCTGGCTGAGGGACATTGACAATATTTACATGAAGTGCTACTGGATATGGGATCTGGCCAGGGACCTACGCCAAAAAAGCAAAAGACACTCAGAATTATTCATTCTATTACATTTGCTATCCTACAACATCTATTTGGGTTAAATGGAAGCATCTTACATTGAACATTTAAAATTTATGGAGATAAAACCACTTGTCTAACTTACAAGAAAATTGAGTGGTTTTTAACAATGCAACACTTAAGGGTTAAAGAGAAGAAACTCTAAATGTGAAACATACAGCACGTAGGACAGAACTTAGTTTAAAGACAGGGCTATTACGTTTTTCTAAACTGAAGTGTAAATGTCAAGGACACACTTTCTTGTCATCTAACATCCTATAATGTAGCTGTGTTTAGGATAGTAATCATCTTCATGTTAGTAATTAGTAATTACTCAATTCTGTAGTAATCCAGAACCAGAACAATTAGTGTGATCCATGGCAGCTTAACATTTGAAAGGCTGCAGAATAGGGTCCAAAGTAAGCTGCATCTCAACAAGTACAGCACTCCTCACTGTAAAAAAAGTTACTTACTGCTCTTTTTAAAGGGTTAGTTTGCTTTAAAAATTAAAATGTTAGGATTGCTGTATCACAAGGATCACTGTAGTATACAGTGTCCCACCACACCACAACACTTGCTTAACATTAAGTCAATGGACTTCTCATATGCTTGAACTGTCTGAAGGTCTAACACATTTACTACCTCTCTCTCACCCTCAAACCCCCACAAATGTACACCATTTCTCTCCTTATCATTTCACAGACTGATAAATGGATCTTAGATCTACATATTCAACAAGAGGTTTTCAGCAGCTTACATTTTGTGGTTCAGAGATGTGGTAATAGGAATAGTCATTGTTAAGTGGGGGCTGGGTGGCTGCTGAGAGCTGTCCAGAAGGTGGAGTGTGAGTAAAGCACATTAAGTGATTGCTTTTCTGAAAGTTTGTGGCTACTGAGGACTGATTGGCTTTGGAAGACTCCTGAAGATAACCTTCCTGTTCGACTTTTCGGCGCATTGTAGAATTCCAGTGGTTCTTGATAGCGTTATCAGTTCTACACAGAAATACATGGATATAAAGAGTTTTGTAAACAAGACCTTTCAATTCAGATTAAAGTTAATTGACAGAAAACTGCTATTAGTGTAGAACGCAGTTAGTCCTCAATGAATTTCTGTGACAATTTAATGGACTTCTCTTCCCACCTTCCCTCTGCCCATGGTTAGTAGGCCCAGACTTGTAATAGTTTCAGTGCCAAAATACAGATCATTGCTCTGATTTTCTCATGTGATTGCACCTTGGGAAATTTTTATGATGGGAAAGTATGAAAAAAGACAAATACACCTCTATTCTTCCTAGGGGTTTTAGACCCATTTCTTACGCTTCTATTTTATATCCCATTGTGAGAAAATAACTATTTCAGCTACCCCCCATTCCCATTATATGAAGCAACAGGCTTGTGGGCAAAACTCTCTTTCTGAGCTACCGTGTGCAGTAAACATGTCGCCATACTTGAAGTATTAAGACTCTAATGGAATTTGAATGCACTCAGTTGCTGCAAAGTGAGTGTAGGAACCAGCTGTGAAAAGGTTAAATTCCAAGCTAGCACTCTAATTGGCAACCTAGGCAATGCTAGTGTTATATCATGTAGTCTTTAAGGAGGAAAAGGGAGTTTAATTTTATTTTGGGAAAAACTGTTCTGAGTATTCAAATACTGTAGATTAAGTGAAAAACTATCTGAATTGGGTATTATTAAACTTGGGTTTTGTGGTATGTTCAAATACAACTAACCAAAAGCTTTCTTTTCATCGTGAAATTCATCATTACTTATATTGTCTGTAGTATAGGCAACCTTCCTGCAAGACTGTAAAACTTGCCAAATAACAAACCTAACTGTTGTTCTCTCCATGCAAAAGAGGGTTGCTACTTAACAGGGCACAATAACATTACACTAAAAGCCTGAAGAGATTTTACCAACTATTGTTACAATTACAACCTATGATTAATATAGCAAAAAATACTGAAGAAAAAACATGTTGTTTTTACTTTGTGCATTTGGCAGCCCTTTGTTTGGTCACTTACACTGTTGTCCTTGCACAGTAGGGTCCTCAGCACATACAGCACCAGTCCTCAGCACTTACACATAATAAGCCCCAATGAAAGCAGTGGGGCTGCTCATCTGCATTGTGAGGCATATGTGCACAAGTGTTACTTGGACTGGAACTACCATTAGTCAGTTCTTTCAACTCCATATGTGGATCATTCACATATCAAAATTTTGTGGAGGACTCAGGGGCAAAGACTTAAAGTATCTTTTAAGTCAATTTAAAAAAAAAATTTTTGATTTTAAGCCTACTACATCCCCTAACTGAATGTAAATTTAACTTCACTTGGAGAACCTAGCCCTGGGCTGTTAAGTGAATGGCAGTTTTGCCAATTACTTAAACACAAACCAGACTAAACCTATATTTGGGAAACCCTGGATGATTTAATGTGGTTATTATTTCCTTATCCAGTAGTAAATACTTAGAAAAAATATTTATTTTTCCACTCAGACCTACATCCTGGTCCCATTTGGGCCAATGGCAAAAATACATATTGATGTCAGTGGCTCCAGGATTTGGTTCTGAGAATTTTGGTTTGTAATGTGCAGCTCTGTCAATCTGTTAAAAAGACATGGGAACACACTCCTAAGACCTCCAGCCTTTTCTTCCCTACTTAAGGGCTACTACATGAAATTACCGTCCAGGTAGTAACTTTGCAATTTCTGCCCATCTGTTTCCCAGCCGCTTGTGTGCTTGGTAAATAATTCTATCTTCCTCTTCCGTCCATGAAGTTTTCTTTACTTCTGGATTCAAATGGTTGTGCCATCTCTCCCTGCACTGTTTTCCAATCCTTCCTTTCAAGTGCTTGGCAATTACAGACCAGCGCTTTGGCCCATATTTCTGCACAAGCTCTATTACCTTCAAAGAAGCAAAAAAATTACGCATGTTTAGTATTACATAATGAATCAGTGCAATCATTCTGTGATGCTGCAATGTTTTAAATGAAGTTTCTCAAAACCATTGTGCTAAACCTCCTGTGTCAGCACTGTTTTATATTTTGGTTACATATTTGCTCCAAAACGAAAAAGCATTGATACTAACAGGGGCATTTCTAGATTCCATTTAAATTTGCAGCGTTTAAACGATTAACTACTTAAGGTAGGGAAATTTGAACCTGTACCAGGAAACAATAAATTATTGCCAAGTACTACTATTACTGGGACCAGTTCTGCAGTCCTTGCTCATGCACAGTTGCCACAAAAATCATAAGAGTTGTGTCCCATCTAAAACAGCAGTATTGGTCCCATCGTTATATATTAAGTGGACTGAAAGAAAAGGTAATTACCCGCTGATCCTCTTCTTTAGTCCATGGCCCTTTAATAAGTTCCGGATTTAGTACCTTCTGCCATCGGTGCTGACACTGCACATCTGTCCGATTCTGATTGTATGTAAAATACATAGATTAAATCACTGATTAAATAAGATGAACTCAGTGTGATGTCCTTAAGTACATTTGCCCCCACTCTTCTTCAAATGCCAAGACTGCTTAGATGCTACGATTGAAATATTTTGCTCACTGAACTACTGCATAATTTCCTGATTTCATTGTAATTATACAAACTTTACTATCTATGAATCCAACAGTTGTCATTCAGAAAAGTAACCCTTAGCTATAATGTCCGAATAACAGCAAAGAAATTAATTTTATAAGCAGCATTTATTGGGTGCACCTATACATTCATTAATGAGCTTTTGCTACTGCACATTAAATTTAGTACCTCTGTGAGGTATTATAACTAAATGCACATTAGGCTACTCAAATGCTCAGCAGCAAAAGCACATGCTTTTTTAGTGATGCTTAATGCACAGTAGCCTAATTTTACTGCACATGAGTGTATTAGCACAGTTTTTGCTGTGACATTCTAATGCACAGTAAAATAGGCTAGTGCACATTAAAGCACCCATTATTGACTAAAGCTAAGTGTGCTAATTCCTGAATGATGGAACTTCTTTGATTCATTGTTGTACCAATCATATGTTCTGCAACAAATCCCAAAAATGTCTGCTTACATTCCCCCAATCTCACTTTAGACGTGAAGTGGAAAGGAAAAAAAAGGCAGAGAAGATAAGATTGTCAGTAAAGCCCTCCATAGTATTAAAACTGAATTTCTTAAGTCTCCATTTGTGGAGGTTTTTGCACTTTTCAGGAAAATGTAGTTTTGGATTTTCCTTTCCCTTACTAGAAAATGTGTGATAAGTTGTCACTACAATTGTAAACAAACCAATGTCCACCTACAGGAAGGAAATTGGCAATAACTTTCCAGTCTTCTGTACCATTCTGCTCCACGAGTTTCTTTAATTTCTCATCCTAGATCATAAAGAAAACAGCATTACTGCTTCAGTCACTTAGTTCTATAAATGTAGTATGTACAGTTAAAAATCCTGAACGTAGCTGGATTTTTATTCATCCACTTCTTTCAATAGTGATAAATTACTGATATCAAGGGGAATGTCTTTGGCCAGATTATGATTTTTGTCTTGACAAATATCTCTCCGGAATCAGGAGACGTTTTTCTTTATTACTGATAGGTTCCTAAATAGAGATAGAACACATTTGCTTTGCAGTTCTGAACTATTCAAATGATAATAATTTGCATCTTTCCAGCCAAAGCAATTTAATTGTCATTTTTGTGCTGGAATTTTCAAGGAAGCCTAAGCAGGTGCCAAGCACTCAGATCATATTGGAATTCAATGGAGTTGGGTGTCTAACTCTGTTAGGCACCCTTGAAAATTCTCCTCTTAATTTTTAAATATTTCAGGACAAGGCAGCTCCAATAATATATTCACAGCATAAGCACTTACAATGAATAGGAAAGCAATGGATTTTTATTTGCTCTTAGTGTTAGGTGGACAAAGCCCCATTTACTTCAGTGGAGTTTTGCCCTGTTACACCAGCATGGAATTCGTTCCTGTATCTTTATTTGTAAATCCAGTACCAGGGACTGCAATGAGAAGCAGCAGCCCACTGCAATCATGGAGAAGGATGAAGATATTGTAACAGCAATATAAGCTTTTGAAAAGCCTTCATGAAGTGACCTGATGTTGTTTATATAACAGTATGAATTGTTGGTACTAAGAAAGTCAAAATATAACTCATATAACAGTATATTTCACACAAGGCTTAAGCAGTGTAAGTGACTGTGGAACATCCACCTGTCAGTGAACTTTATCACTGTAATTTATCAGATGATAAGACCAAAAGCACCACAACTAAATGTTATCAAAACATACTTATCCTTTGTCTTTGAAATCTTTAATGTCTGACTTTGGTGCTTAATAGATTTGCTTCTTCCAGCTTTTAATGATTACAACTTAGAATCACAACCATGTTATTAAAGCACCAACTTAAGATGGCCCATTTGTTTGGAGTAAGAGGGCTGCAGAAGTCTGTCCCACATAGTTCTCTGCTGCTGTAAGACACTGAATGGACGTCATTTCTCTCTTAGCAACCATTTGCAAACAAAACGTGCCAGCAGTAACAATCAAACATTGCTACAGGTAACTTCAAAACTCTTTTGCCCACCTGCCTCATGCAGCAGTTTGAACACCTGTACTGCAGGTTTTGTTGGAGTCAAAGACATCCATTTAGACATTTTATTACAAAAAGAAAAACAGAGAGAACCTCAAAGTTGCATCAAATATTATATACAGCTGGTGGATCAAATTCTGCTCCCATACATAGACAGAGTGCCACTAAAGTCAGTGTGTAATGAAGTATGCATCTGAGAGAGAAATTCAGCCCATTCCCTCTCTCTCTTTAATGAAAAAGTAATAAGTGAATCTACATTTACCTCCTCCCGTGTCCATCTGGTTTTTCCTAAATGACGTTTTCCAGTCTTGGGAAGCAAACCATCATAGTCATGATCAAACATTTCAACATCTTCTTCATCATCATCGCTACTATATATGCTAGAGAAAAAAACAGGAGGAGACACAGAGTGTAACATGAGGGCTTGAACTACTTAATTACAAAAAATATGAAAAACACAACAATCTTTACAAAGGTTAAAGAGATAAAACTTTGAAAACTTGCACAACAAGATTTTGTTCTGCATTCTGTTGTTCTTCTATTCTGAACTGGTTCTGCTGTTTTCGGTATCCAAAGATACAAGCAAAAGGCTGGCAACCTTCTTATTACTGTACATGTTTAGACCTGCTCACACTGTTAGATCAGTGGCAAATTACACACTTGGCAGCCGTTCAACCAATGAAAGTTTCAAATTAAAATACAATGTTTGGGACAATAAAGAGAACAAGAGGCTGAGTCCTTTACACAAGTGTATGCTCAGAACCTTTTAACTTGTGCCATACATTTTGAATAATGCTTAATGCTTTCACACATTTGATATAGTAACTGGGTATGTTCCAAATAATACAAAGTATATTTAATTAAAAACCCATAAAAATAGTAAAACTACTCAAAATTATATTTAGTAACAATTTAGGTGCTAGAATACCAAACATATCAAAGGACATAAGTTTTCAAAACAAATTCTAAATTTTATAATACATTTTGTAATAAACTGTAACATAAAATATGCTTACATTTCATGTTCGCATACAGACAAAGCCAAAGACAAGTATAAGATCTCCATAATAACCAACAGGAGAAGCAATCGCCCTTTTACTATTTTGCTAAACCTTACTGCATTTATAAATACCTCATAGTATTATAAATACCTCATACTACTTCTGAAATACTCCAATACTCACCTAATTCATGACTAAGGGATTTCCCCAGAGGCTATCTAAGGGTGACAAGGAATCTACTGCTGTTTTCACAAACAGTATTCTATCCATCTAACTAAATTTAAAACTGAGTATTTTGCAACAGGAGTTGTCTTTCTGTTGGGTAATATTTTATTTCCAACATTAAGATATAAACATCACTTTTGAAACTTCGAAAAAGAGACAATATGTGCAGGGCTAGAAAAAAGACAATGCGGTAGTCTGTGACTAATGATGGTGATATACGAACAAATTGTTTAAAAATATTTTTTTGATCAACAAACAAGGATCAGGTACCCTTTCTACTCTTAACCTTGATTTTCAAGTGTCCTTTTTTCTTGCATTAAGCTGAAGTTCAGTATACGAGTTTGCAGCCAAGATGCAAACACAACCAGAACTCAAGGCATGAAAGTATATTAAGTTAAAATGACATTAAGCCCTCAGCCCTGTCTTTTGGCATATGTTGCATATCAAGGAAAATCTGTTGTAAGAGGTGTATCAGATTCCACAGCAGTGTGTAGGGCCTGTCTGAGAGCAAGCCCTAAGAGGGTGACTGACCAAACAAGTCAACTAACCCCAGGCTTAATTCACTACTGAGCCTCTAGGTAGGCAAAGTCCGACTCTACAGCTCACTGTATTTTGAGTATTGTGGAACACTTGGACATAAACAGTGAACAAAGGTCTGATCCTGCAGCCCCAGAGAATGGTCCTTATTCACAGGAGCAGTTAATCTCACAGGCTTCACTGGGACCTCTGGCTACAGTCCAACCATTCCAAACAGAACAGCGGTATCAGCTCCTTGGCTTTGTTTTTACTTAAAAGAAAGTTAGATTTTCTTCTCAAAGTGACACACAGGGCCAGCTGTTTAACTTGTCTGCTGTCAAAGGAAGTTTTGCGGCTCAATTTCCAAGTATCATTTTGAAAACTGGTTTCACTGACAATTACACTTACTGACAGTACGCCCAGCAGGGCAGAAACTGAGGTAGAAGACCAATGAGTTGGTGAAATGAGTGAATGCCCCGCTTGCCCCATAAAGTCCCTCACTCCCTATACAGGGCCTTACTGGGGCCTAGGAATAAGGATTTCACCACTGATGAGGTGAAATCTGTGGCAAAAGAAGCAGCAGGGCCTGAGAATTGAGGCTGATCCATGGCTGGTCTGGGGTCTGGCCTTGCTCAAGCATTTTAAAGGATTCCCGGCAGATAATACTTCTGGCCTTGTTGAAGCATTTTAAAGGATTCCCGGCAGATAATACGTGGCCCTAGGAGCCGGGCTGCTGCAAGAATGAAGAAAGCTCCACCTGATTGCCTGGCCAGTGCCGTTTACATGCACCACAGCCAGGCTGCACTTTTGTCAAGGAAACCGAATTGTGCAATAAGACAAAAAAAAAAAGTAGGGGGGGAGGGAAAGGTTGGAGAGGAAATGACTCGCTGCTGCTGCTACTGTGATTGAAGGAACTGGACACCAGGAGCAGTGCGGAGCCTGCTTGCTAGGACACACCTGGCTGCTGGCACCGTGCTGCACCCCTGCCCAGGGTGCTGTGCTGCCAACAGGGGGAGGCGCCAGAAAGTCCCTGTGAGGGGAGCACCCGGATTCCATGCTGGGCACAGGCACCAGCTCCTTCTTCCATCCCCACCCCTGCACCCTGCTGTGCAAGCCGCCTGGTTCTTCCCAAAGACGGGAGGGTGTGTCTCTTTATAGCTGTGGGGAGTGTGTGTATGTGTATGTAGGGCTGGGGGTGTTTGTTTAGGCCTGGGGGAATGTGTGTGTGTATATGCAGTGTGTGTAGAGCCAGCGGGGGACCATGTGTATGTACAGTATGTGTGTGTGTGTAGAGGTGGGATTGTGTGTGTGTGTGTATTGGTATAGTGTGTGGGTGTATGTAGGGCTAAGGAGGGTGTGTGTGTATATGTACAGTGTTTGTGTGTAGGGCTGGGATGTGCGTATGTATATGCTGTGTGTGTAGAGGTGGGAGGACTGTGTGTGTATGTACAGTGTGTGGGTATGTGTAGGGCTGAGGACAGAGTGTGTGTGTGTGTGTGTTACAGTGCCTGTGTGTAGGGCTGGAGAGGGGAGTATATTCAGTGTGTGTGTGTTTGTGTGTGTGTGTGTGTGAACACATGTAGGGCTGTGTGTGTGTAGGGCCAGGGTAGAGAGAGAGAGACAGAGAGAGAGTGTGTGTGTGTGTGTGTGTGTGTGTGGGGTGAGATGTGCATGCGTGTCCTGAGTGCAGGGGGGAGGGGGTGGGGTTTGCTGGTCAAGGAGGGGGATCCCCCGGCCACGTGTCGGCCCCGGCGCGCGGAGGTCATTAGCAAACAGCCCCGCAGCGCCGCCCGCCGGCCCCCCCCACCCCCTGTCCTGGCACCAGCCACGCGGCACCCGCTTCCTCCAGCGCGGTCCCGGCCCTGGCCCGCCCTCCCCCAGCACCCAGCTCCCTTCCCCAGCACTGGGGGTGGGGGGGGGCACGAGCAAGCTGCTGACAGCTCCTGCCCAGCCACCCATGCACGCACACACTTATACACCCCCCTCACATATATACACACACATACACGCATATACACAAGCATATACATGCAGACACACGCATTTATACAAGATATACATACACACACATTTACACGCATATACATGCAGAGACACACTTATACACACATGAAAACATACATGTGCACATACACATATACACATGCAGACACACTTATACACACATACAAGCATACACATTCACACACATACGTGCAGAGACACATATACACCCATGCATTTACACACATACACAAATACATGCAGAGACATACACAAGTGCATATATGTGCGTGCACATGCACATTTACATGCATATATATGCAGAGACACACACATGCACACATATACACAAGCATATACATGCAGGCACACACATATACGTGCAGACACACACATATACACAAGCATATACATGCAGGCACACACACTTATACATACACACACATTTACCCGCATATACAGACACACTTATACACACACATGCACACATACGTGCAGACACACATACACAAGCATATGCATGCAGACACACACATGCGTGCAGAGACGCACACATATACACGAGCATATACATGCAGGCACACACACTTATACACACACCCAAACAAGCACATATACATGCACACACATACACATACGCAAGCATATACATGCAGAGACACACACACATACACACACACACTCCCTCCTCGCCTCCTGCCGCAGCCGGAGTTGGCCCGGCCCGCCCGGGCTCCACATGTGCAGAGCGACGCGTTCAGCTCTGCACAGACGCGGGGCAGCGCGACCCCCGGGCCAGCGGGAGGTGTGTGTGTGTGTGTGTGTGTGTGTGCGTGCTGGGGGTGCAATAATGCCAGTCCCAGTAAAGGGCTCTCTCTCCGCCCGGCCCCGACTGTCACCCGCCCCCGCGGCCGGGAATGAATGAGCGGGCAGCAGCGCAGCCCCAGCCGGCCCCGTCCCTCAGCCCGCGCGGCCAGGCAACAAGTGCCTGCGGGAAGCGCGGAGCAGCTGGAACGAGCAGCAGCAGTTCCGCCCGGCG